GCAGCTATACATTATTTTTATCTCTATTTCTGCTGTTTTTACACCGGTTTTATACATTTTTTTAATACATTTTTATACTTTATTTTAGGTAATAAGTCAAATGAATCATCACCTTTTTCATTCTCTTCAGTGTTTCTACTCTTGCTTATTGCTTCTGCAGCAATCGCGGTAAGTATGAATTGATAATATTGATAGTGATGAGTGTTAAGTCATAATTTATTTTAAATGCGACAGTGAACTGGTTAGTTTCTGGATCTTTTATAAGTCTTCCAGAAAGTTAAGATAGAATATTTTCGTGCTTGAAATTTTTGTTAACATGTTTATTGAATTGGCAGTATTCTATTAGCATAAGATGTCGTTTGATCTTTAGTGAAATTTCTTCTGAAATAAATATCTTTGAAAAAACTTCTTTAAAGGGTTATTTGTGGTATCATAAGCGGCCGACAAGCTTTGCAGTACTTCATGTGGACAACCCAGTATATAGGCGTACTGTAGAAGAAGTTGACGCCGACATGGATCCATTTGCTGATGGTACAGTACCTTTACATTTTCTGAGCATTGGTTTCATTTAACTACTGTTGATATAAGCGAGAGGAAGAGATAGTAAAATATAGAGATAGTTAGTGGATAGTGTATTTTTCCTAGATAAACTGTTGTGACTTATCATGTATTGCGTAGGGATATTTTCTTTTCTCTCACATTTTTTCGATTTTTCAAGCTCTTCATGATTTTTCTTGTTTGGGGCTAGAGATCCTTTGCTGTGTATATAGTTTTCCACTTCAAATATCGAATGATTTCCAGTTGGAGTATTATCTTGCAATTTTTCTCAGCAAATTCGTGTATTGGGTAGTGCTCTGTTTTTGATTTATCAGTAGCGTTTTATTCTATTACTGTAGTTTGTTCATAGATAATTCTTGTTCTTTATGTATAAAATAATAGATTAAACTTTATGAATTTAAATTTTCAGCTCCTTCTAATTCAAATGGCATTCAGCGTGGTGTAAAACTTATCATTGATCAGGAACAACAGTGGAAATATAATCCCGTTAGTGCTGCACCACCGACTGCATCAACTTCGCTGAGCGTACCGGTATGTTCATTAAAATATGCGTCATATAGCTCATTATTAGGACATGAGAAAACGAATAGTAATTCTGCGTGGTCTATTTTTTGAGTTATGCATTTAAGATAAAATTTAAAGCTGTTGAAAAAAGAGTGAATCAAGTATTAAGTTTATTTTTTGATTTAATCAGGTTTTCTGAATTTCATCCATACATGATCACAGCTATTCAAGATTTTGTGTTATCAGGAGGCAATTTAACTCTAGATAAGTAGTTACCCAATCCTTTATATTTTCAGTTTGGGCGATGCTTTGATTATTTGTAATTTTTCAACCTTTTTCAACTTCCGATTTTTTCACTTTTTGATCTTTTATTTTAAGCGCAATTTACTTATAAAAGGAGAAAAAAATATGCTGTGTTTTTCTATGAAAACTATTGTTCGCTCGTCGTTTTTTAAATAGATCATCTGATTACAGACTGAATCGATGACTGCTCCTCTGACGTCATCGATGGTTGGTTGATGAAATTTTTCAAGAGTGAGAGGATGCTTATAGTCACCTCACATTCGTGACGATCTGCGAATAACAGTGCATCTCTTCCGGTTTGCCAATTTATCTTATATTTATCCGCATAGTTGTTCATTACAGGTAACTTTTTTTTATTGGTTCCCTGTTTGGAATGTACATTTTGCCATATATGTACTGTCTTTTTATTTGAAAGAGCTCTCTTATCTTGGTTCTTCTCCTTCCGTTATTTCATTAACCAATTGCTTTTACATACTGAAACTATCACATTTGTGAAGGTACAAATTTATTAATTAGATCTTGTCCTATTTTCATTTTTTTATGCCAAAAATGATGAAGTCGTCCTAATTTGCTAAAAGCAATTTCCTTTGTTTTTCAATTTCTGCCTGTAGTGATCAGTTAGTAGTTTGTAGAAAAATATATGGCTCGAGTGTATAGGAATGTACTGCGGTGCAGGTATCTTGACTTTGCACTATTTAGATTCCGTTCTATCAGTATTTATAATTTTAACGAAAGGAAATTTACCATGAACTTTCAATTTCAACTTGTGATTCTCTCACTTCCCTTTTCGCATAAAATTTAACGTTTATAATTTTATTAATTCGCTATCAAAAGGACTCAGTATGTGTTTATCATTACATTACAATTCTGTCGTATATTCTGAGAGGTAGAACCTGTTGAAATATGTAATTTCAGATTAACTTTTCATTCGTTCCAGTAAAAAAATTTTTTTTACATTTCGCTGTAACTGTTTTTGTTAATTTGCTGTAACCGTTTTTTTCTTGTTTTCCAGTCATGTTATTTTTCATTTTCATCTATAGCATTTTCCCTTCCACCTTTTTTTTCCCGTTGTTAGTACGCTTATTTATGATTCTCTGATTATTCATCATATCAAAATTTTTGACGTGCTTTTTTGGCAGGTACTTCCTCGTTTATTTCTTTTTCGACTTTTTTCCCTCACTTTTGTGGATTTATATTGCATAAGGGAAGTTTCCAAGTTAATTTTCTAAATGAAAACTGAAAATGAAATTGCTGATTTGTCCTGCAGTAACTTACTCTCATGTATTTAATGAAAAACCATTGATGATGATTTGATGAAAAATCATTTGTGGACGTCGTCACAATCAGAGATCGCTGTGATCTCTCCTAGTGATTATGGCACTATTTCTCCGAATGGTGCTTGCGGTCCTAGCCGTCCATTTTACAAGAAAGCTATATCATAAATTACATTTATTTTTATTTTTTGTTCAATACATGCAACGGTAAAAAAAAAATTATATATAAATATATAAATGTGTGATGATGCGTTATTGTTTCATTATTTAGCTTGTTCTTTTTCTGAAATTTCGTTTTCTTGCACATTTATTGCACACTTCTAACTTCTCTTTAAAAATGTAAATCATTTTTTCGGTTCATGTTCCCATCATTCTTATGTTTATTACCGTTCGTTTGATGAGTTTTGATATAATCTAAGGTATTCTCAGCCTTACTCTATATTTCACTATGATAAATGTATATGTTCCTGTGTACTGAGAAATTTTGGTTATGCTGATTGCATTAACAGGGTAGCTAGACATGAAAGAATCACATATGAAATTGATATGAAGAATATAATTCTAGAATATAATTATATGAAATATATCGAACAAAGCACGTATTTTTTTATCCAGCTTGACCTTTCTTGTCACTTTCTCGTCAACTTTTTATCACTGTTAGTTACATTCTTTTTGTTACCAATAATCTTTTCTTCATCGCTCTTAAGAATATCCTTCACTGTTGCTGCTGCTGTAGTCTCGTCTAATTCTGCAAATAGAATTTTTTAGGGAAAAAGTTTTGAAAGAACAAACGAAATGGTGATATAATTCTTAGGCTTATACTTCTAATGACTTTTTAAAAAGTTTTTAACGACAAATTTTGCTTGCGTTTTTAATTTGTATCCCAATAAGTGAAATATTGCAACGTAAAGCTTGCATATCATAAGAAATATCAATCCTTGTCAGTGAACCAATTAATTACACTCTTGTTTTTACATATGCCCCTAACCGAGCTGCATCCCTTCCGCAACGCTTTCCTTTACTGTTGCGGCACTTAATGTCATCAAGCTTTTCTGTGCTGCAGCTTTTTGTTTTGTCCTTTTTCTCGATTTTCTACTAGCTTTGGTTTAATATTTCTCCCGTTCTACATTACATTATCGTTTTCAGCTTTCTTCTTAGACTTACCAGTTTTTAGTTGTCTTGTGGCCATTTCCTGTTTTTCCCGCTGAAAGTGCCGAGATTTCAACTATATTTAAATTCAAATAAGGTTGTGTGAACTGTAAAAATATCTAATCATGTTGGATGATTGTGTGTTAAGTGTAAAGCACGTCATTCGAGAACTTTGTTGGAGTCAGCTTCTATATAATTTGTAATCGTGAGCGAAAAGAAGGACTTCAGTGAAGTTAAAGAGTACAAATCCAAATTTTGAGAAGCACGATAAATAAAAATAGATTAAAGGGTAGATAAACTTTTTCTTTTGATGAAAACATCCATTCAAGCGGTGTGACATCTTCAAGTTGTGAAACATTCTGAACTATCAATTCGTTAGCTTTTTTTCTTGGTGTCTGGTTTTCGTTATTCTTATTCTGGAAATACCGTTGTAACGATTAGATAACATTAATTAATGTGGCAATGTCATCAAATGCCAAGAAAAACAATATTATTAGAGGTATTGGATGGCATAATCCAAGGCTTATTCAAACAACTTTTTTTACTGACTACGCCACGGAATTGGTTGTATCATCTATCTCACTACTTTTCATTTCCCGCGAAACATACAAAACAATTGAATTTACTTTCCTCTATTTCTAATTCGGCCTCAATCTCTATGTCAGCTTAGATGACGTTTGTCGTGAAATCAAATCTTCAGATCAAACAAATTCATGTAATTATTGTCCATCATAACATTCAAGACATACCATATGCTTTATGCGCAATGTGGCTGATGGCGACACGATAGGAATTGCTGGAAACAAGCAGACACTTTTAGAAAGAAATATTCGTGTTAAATGGAGCCTTTTACAATGACATTCTTTTTACTACGACACGCAAATCATTTAGCATGGTGAGCGTTGGTGGTTATATTAAAACATTTTTAAAAAGTATAATTTTTGTTTTTCAATTTGAAGATTTAAGCATTCATAAACAGTAAAATTGCCGAAAACTGTAGTGATAGAGTAACCTTTGTTATCGAAAGCAGAAATAGGAACATTGTCTTTCTTCCTGAAATCAAACTGATAAAATTAACTTCCTCGCTCTCTTTGATCAACTCATTTATAAATTGCTGCAGCGTTTCAAAGAAAAAAAACATGTGTGGCAGAAATTAGACGAATGATAGTTGTTCGTCGATGCAATGCAAAATGTCTGTTTAAGCTGATTTAATTAAAATGGAGTAGAGCTGGAGCAGTATGGGAATGAACAAAATAATAACAGGAATAGAAATAATGAAAATGAGAATCTTATAGAGCTCCTGGCAAGTCCTCCTGTATTTTTCGGTGATTGTTTAATTGATTGAGTGTATTGACTAGAAGTGCTTAAATTTGATGATACTGTTGTTGGTCGCCCGTAATTTAACTCAATTTTTGTCAAGAATTCGGCGGCGCATATTAGAAGATTGCTACAGTTGGAGCAAGAATTGGTATCTGAAATGACTTTAATTTTAAATTCACTAAAAGTTTGAATTCGGACTTCATGAGTATTTACTTTTTAATTTCATACAGATAAGCTTATAAACTATATGTTGTAAGTACATTTATCTAAGTCAGCTGTCAATCATTAATTAAACTGAATGAAATCCGAAGACTGTAAGGTGGATTCGAATTGCTTTTAAATAACGATTATTTTGCAGAAAGGCTAATCTGGATGAAAAAGAAATAAAATCAAGTAAAATAAGAAAGGAAAAGGGAAACCTACATGTGAAGTTTTAGGGATTTGCTATGTACATAACCAATAGAAAGCTAAGCTATTAACTTGCTACTCGAGAAATTTCGTAATTGACGAAGGGCATTGAAATTTTAAAAACAAGAAGTGACGAAGGATAACTACTGATGAAAATATTCTAAATCCCAAACTTCATCACAAACCTCTGAAATAATCGGTCTGGGATGATTTACTGAAGGAATCAGCTAGTTCAACGTGTGTTCCAGTTGACGGAGTTTGAATCACCACCGGATTTGACTGTTGATTGGATAACGTCGTTTTATACTTCGAATATTGCCATTGTTGCGTATCTGCACTTTGATCACTAAAGTTAAACATTCATAATTTGCGGTAAATGGGATTTCATTTCAAACGCACATAGAAGTATCAACATTAGTTTTCGTCGACTCGACGGCTTATCTAATAGATTCGATAATCTGATTTTCAAAATAATATTTTTATGTGCAGTTTAATCAACCGACCAAGAGCTATTTTTATATAAATGAATTAATCAAACTAGAATTTTCTGAACAGTTTAGTCGCACATAGATTTCAAAACTTCGAAGAAGTAACGTTTTATACAGATCATACTGTGTGGATTTCGTTTGAAATGAACGTTGTCCTTTACTTAATTGGCTATTTGATACCGCAGATGATGACAGCAAGCTCGCTTTACCGCTGTAATGCTCAGTAATATATTTTTTTAATATCTCAAACTTCTTATAGGCAAGTAGCATAAATGTTCAATCTTTGCTTTTTTTCATTTTCTCTTAGGCTCATCGACGAAAATTGAAGAATACCGAAAAAAAGTGCAAGATTTCCGTCTAATAGATCTCAACGTTCGAAATTCATTTCAACGATGTCACACTAGAATATTAGCTAGCCGAGAAATTTTCATAATTAATTATTTATATCACTCAAATAAATTTCTTTCGCTGAACAAACCTTAACAAATTATGAAAAGGTCTAGTACTTAATATTCAGCAAAGGAAAATTGTTGGCAAGCTTTAGGATTATCAGAACTTATCACAGTTTAATGTAATTATTATTAGATCGCTGCAATCAAAAAAAGAATAATCAAAGTGTACTTCTTCAAGCAGATTTTGTATTTGATCGAAAGGTATTCTTTGTTGTCCATTCATAGATTCTGAAATGAATCAATGCTACATTGGGACGCACTGATATAGCGAATAAGAAAGAAATTATTTGAAGTGGTCATACAGGAGAACCGGAATGTCAGTTGAAAGTAATGTAGGTCGGTCAATAAATATGATAGAAACGGGTCATTTGTACGGTCGATTTTCGTAAAAATTTAAGATGGAAGGCATTTCCATGCTTACTATATTTTCCTCTTCATTATCATTCAAGATGGTAGCCAATTCAAAAACCGATATGTGCATGTTAAGATCCAAAAGTCCAAAAATATATGCATATCACCAGTCATCGTAAAATGATTTCTATTTGCTTGAAATTTTTTGGGCAAGGCTCCTACCACTGCTTACTTCAAATATTTTCATTTTAAATTTCGAAGTAAATTTTTATGAATTGCTCATCAAAGGAATTAAACCTCTTCTTTTCAAAAGATTTAAAAATGGAGTTTCGTCCGTCTCCAAATGAAAAATTGCTAAATAAGTTCAGAAAAACAGTCAGTAAATTTCTCTTTAGCTTCTTTGCTAATGTAAACGAACAGATTTCAAAAACTGTTTTGAAAAAAAGATGAAGAAACGCTACTAGATGACTAAACCGCGCAAGTTGGAATAGGAACTGTAAAATGAACATAATTACGGAATAAGCTGATTTAATATTTAATATAATCCTTCCCTGTTATATCATTTCCTGGACACATGAATTCAAACTCCGAACTGAAATTTTAATTTTGAAAAATGCTTCGAACCGCTGCTTTGATAAACTGTCAAGTAGCACAAACGCACAAGACATGCGGAAAACAAAAAACAATGCTGAAAATTTGATTATTCCATCGCATTAAAAGGTAATTTTTTTGTTCAACAATAGTATTTCACATTATGAGACATAGCACTATTGTCTTTTAAAAGCTAAACGTTTTTAACACTAATATTTAATTTTAAAATGCCGAAATCACACTTTTTCTTTGAGATTTACATTTCAAAAGTGAAAGTGTTCGCTTTTTTTTAAATTGCATTATCCAAATTTTACTATTATGAAAATTTCTTTACTGTGATAACAAATCAATTTATGCTTTATTGCAGAAAATCGACAATGTTAACTGGACATTCCAGCAATCAGTTACCTGCTGAAAAACAAGGAGTTTAAGATGTGGAGAAGTAGTCGAGCCCATCAAATTCGATGCCGGAATCAATATTTTTTCCTTTCTGGATCCCACTTTCTACTAAAAATTCTTATCTATGGCCGTATTATATTCTCTACGAGATTCTACCATGTAAAGCTGTTTCTGCCGAACCAGTGTTTGCTGAATAAGACTTCGATGTTTTTAACAAGGACAATGCTAATGACAAAATTCCATCGGTATTGTTTAAAAAATCCTTAGTAATTATCACGATTTGAAATACTGATCTTTATCTCATCACTTTACTATAATGAACGCTTCAAAGTACGGAGAAATTCTTTCTTTCATAGCGATGATTAGAGCACTCAAGTAGAAAACCAAATAAATGAGACTAATATGAGCTATGTGAGTATATCATCAACTTGACTGAATGAAATTTTTGAATAACTACTGCAAAATTCCTATTCCATGAATGAAAAGATGCATCGCGCCACGCATCAAAAGTAGCAACATTTATTTATAAAAACTACAAAAGGCCAAAATTTAGGGAAAAAAATAATTGCAAGGGAATCCGAAGAAATATCCACCGATAATTAATGAACTAATAAAGAGGTGAACAAAAAGAGTATTTCACTAGATGATAAAAAGCTTCTCTCCGAGGAATGAAATTACACGTACAAATACATATATTTCTTAATCTTTCGTTGTAGCTCATTCCTTTCTCTACACCCGGTCTTCTTGCTTGTGTAATTTACAGTTATGACTTTTAAGAATGATATATTTGGACCTAACATTACACAATGACGTCAAAGAACGATTAAAATTAATAGTAGTCGTCATTATTAGTATCATTAGCATCAACTATTCCCTTATTTTTGATCTGTTCCTGATTGTTGTACATGTCCGCTATCTGAAATTATAATAGAATCTGTAAGCGTTTCATTATATTCATTAAACTGCAGGAAAATCAGTCTTGGAAGCGAGAGACCGATGCAGAAAAACCTTATGTGTTTCTTGTTTTTGTTTTGAAGGCATACCTGTTGTGAAGTGGTAGCTTCTTCCGGTGTTTTGTCAGTACGCCTTCGAACGTATCGAGGAAATCGTAGTGAGATTCCTTTCCCGACATCTACCTCAAAGAAGATATCTTGAATATCTTTTAAAATGCGGAAAATTCTGTCCTCCAAACAAATAACAGAAAAAACAAAAATAAAAAACCCAGATATATGCATAGCAATAAACATACAATTCATATGAAATTTTTTCTTATGAAATAATCTGAAATTAATTCAAAACTCACGATTCCTTTTCCAGCAAAATATTTAGGAGATATTGACAGATCAGCTGCTTTCACCTCCCACACAATTTTCGGATCAAACCATACATCTGGTTTCACTGAATTATCGTAAGAATAATAAGGACGGGCCTATAACAATCACAAAAAATAACGGCTCAGCAAAATATGGACCAAACAGATACTAAAATCCTTGTTTATACAACAGTTCCCGGTTGAAAGGTTTTAATCTATCTAAACAATAAATAGCATGGAACAATATGCACTGGTCGCTAAAATTTTCCCTCGCCGACGTCCTGTACTGAATGTCTAAAAACGATGAGAAAGTGTGTTAAGCTAACCATAATTATTCAGATTACTATTTTTTTAATTTCAGTTAAAACTAAACATTAATAGCTTGCTTGGATATAATGAATCATTCCAGAAATATAATATAATGAATTATTCCAGAAAATACTTTTTATTTAAAAAGTACTATTCCCTGGACGATGCATGAGAACGCTAATGGAGAACATTAAATAATGATAGAAAAATTGTTTAACATGTATTTCATTTAAAATATCTTCGTGCAAATTTTAACCTTCTCAATCCTGAGTTCTTCGAAGTACTGATATTGCTGGCGAAGATCACCATCAGTTAAACCTGTGCCAATCTAAGCAAAAAGTTTAAAAAACTGAAATATTAATTTTTCAATTCAAATAAAATAGATAAAAAATGATGCATCAGAAAGACGGTAGTACCTTGCAAATACTTTCATATTCTTCATTTATTGGATTATAGCATGCCAGCAGGTAACCACCATAAACGCCTGTCCTTTTGCCTGTACCAAAGTATGCACCAATAACAGTGAGATCAACAGTATCTCCAATCGTGTCCAAATAATCTTTTTTGAGCTAAACTAACTGTTAAGTATTTCACGATGAAAAAAAAGACAACGTAAACCGAGTAGATACAGGGACATATAAAATTTTTAGTGATATATACTGCTCTACTGAGTTTCCTTTGCAATATTACAATATATGTACATATAACTTCACGTCTCAAGATACATGAACTTTCATGAATTGGTATCCGAACATATGAAGAAGAAATGATATGCAGCAACTAAAATTTTCAGTTTAATAAAATTTGTAGAAACCTTTAGCCAACTGTGTGACCGCTTTGCTATTTCATAGGTTGCATCAAAATCAAGCGCTTTGATCATAAGTCCTTCGCAGTTCCCTTTTATAGCATCATCCAGAAATTCGGAAATTTGCTCCGCATCTTCGATATCTTTGGATGAAACAAATCCACAAACACCTCCCACTTCCTAATTGAAAACGAAAATATAGAAAATTACATACGAATTATGCTCTCGAGATTAACAAAAACACGCAGCATAAGAACATAAAAATTTCTGATTCCAAACGGTATTTTAACAATGTTAATAATGACCTTAAAATGCCGTCGCAACATTTCCCGTCGCTTTCGATATGGGAATTTCGTTAGTGATTGACCGTTCCAAAAGAGAAGGTCGAATATAAATACATGGACTTTAACTTTAATTTCACTGTCACCCACATTCTGAAGAAAAAGGAAAGTAAAAGATGTACGAGACATAAGTATTAACAGTTTAATGCCCGTATTTCGCCTTTGATCAGTGGTGATTGAAATGGACAAGTAGTTCTCAACTAGTACTAGTGTAATTAATCTTAAATAAAACAATATATATATTGCACATTGTCAAATATAACTCAACTAAATGAAGAGAAAAATTATTAAAAAAAAGTTAATTTTCGACTA